AATGTTGGTGATTTATAATACAGAAAGTGGCATTGGTGCATTTTTTTCTTGGAAATTATTGTGTAATCACGTGAAAGGCATAAAAATCGACAATCAGTTTTTGATATAATGGAGGCCCATCTTTCAACCCGTGTACAGCACAAGTCATTGAATTCTACATCGTTTTTGGATGTTTCTATTGAGTCATTCCATATGAATCCAACACACTTTTTTGCCCAACCCCTTTCAAATCGCCCAATATTTTGCATGTTGGGGGTTCTACCTGAGATAACCCCACAGTAAAATTTTTGGCTCCGCGCCAGCATTTTCTGATGAGTAAGGAGCAATTCGAAATTTTCATGAGATTTGGCTAAAAAAACTCACCTTCTTTTATATGTAATCACATAATGATTGCTCACACCATGATTGCTCACAGAGGTCGCGCCAGGATTTGCCTGACAGGGAGGGGGCGATGCCCCGACGAGGGGTCAGATTTTCCCGACGAAAGCAAAGTGGGCGTGGTCGAGCTTCGATTAAAAAGTTTCGAAAGTGGTCTTGGGGGCGAAGCCCCCGAAAATTATGACAATTTAGGGGGTTTCAAAGGGTTATTTAATCGATTTTATAGTCTACTAATAAATTATGTAGAAAATACATATAATTTGTTTTTCTTCCCCGACGAATTGTGCTTTTTCTCCCGAAGAGGGGGGGGGGACAGCTCTCCCTGACGGGGAGCCCTGGCTCCCCAGCCCCCCGCTGGCGCCACCACTAATTGCTCATTGACAGCCGCTCAATTTAAAATGCTTCCCTTATTAACGTCATCTAAGTTGCGATCACCACTCATCAATATAGGAATAGATCAAGCTATAAACCAAAGTGTCAGCTACGTTCTATAAACGGATAAGATAAATGTGCCCTACTTGTACGACCGTCGTTTCTTTCCACACAGGCGAATTTGTTTTTTGTTCATTACACGCACGCCGACAGTTCAATAACTAACTACGAATTTCTTTACTGTGCATGCTTATGACTATAAGCAAAAATTCACGATTCGCACTATTCAATTAAGGGCCTCGATCCGTGGATTAAAGCGGGGTGGTGGGGTCGAATTGCAAAATAAGGAAGTCTTGGGCTGTCCACAAGGACCACAAGGAGTCAGGGGGCAGCCCATGGCCCCGGTTGGGGTAGAGGGTGCGAATCCCTCTGAAGCTCTTGCACCTATAGCGTTTTAAAAGTAGTATCTAATAGATTTTAAGAAATGCAATTTAACATTATGTTCACTAATGTTTGAAATACAGTGGCGGATCCAGGAATTCGAATATAGGAAAAACCGTATCCCCAAAGCTGCCTTTAAATGGATACCACCTGAAAAAAGAAAGGCAGGTAGGCCTAGAACCAACTGAAGACATACAGTGATGGCCGAGCTAAAGGAGATGGGTATGACATGGAAAGAGAGGCAGAACGTGTAGCAAATGATCGCTCCAGATGGAAGCAGATAGCTGACGCTCGGGACGAAGAGATTAAGTACGTTTTTATCGATATATAGAATGGAGAGAGTGATGCCCCAATCACTCGACTTCGGCTTTGAAAAGGGCCTTGGTTATTTGTTTGTTAAAAAAATATTTGAATTAGCTGGGGCCCCTTGAGGATCATTGGCTCCTGGTGACAGCCCATAACCGTTACGCCACTGCACGATCTTATTATAATAATTATAATTTATAATACAGTAAATATTTATTTTTTTAAAAATAATTACCTTACTAATTTATATAAAATATAATCAATTAAATTACTTTAGCTAGAAATTAAGTTACAGACAAAGTAGGCCCTATAACCGTTACGCCACTGCACGCTCTTATTATAATTTATAATTTATAATAAATATTTTTTTTTTAAATAATTACCTTACTAATTTATATAAAATATAATCAATTAAATTACTTTAGCTAGAAATTAAGTGTCAGACAAAGTAGGCCCTATTATCTTAATTACAAGATATTACGCTTATTTTGAAAAATCACGATACAAAATTAAGAACATCATTGTGCCAAAAAAGACATTAAAATACATCACAAAACGCTACAAACACCCGAGCGGCTGGGCCTACCCCCCCCCCCCCACCAACAACCGGAGCCCTTCGCGGCCACTGGCTTCCATCGCCTGGCTCGGGGCCTCCGGCTCCTTCGTTGTTCCGCATTTACAAATTTCGCAACTCCCCAAATGTGAGCCACTCACGCCCCTGCTAGAGTTACGTTAATCGCTCAGTCTGGACATCTCATCAGTTACGACATGGGTTAGGTCCTACGCCAGGTGTTCTCCTGCCGGGTCTAAGTGTACTAACAGACGACAGTCGGACAGGATGAATGCCCTGCTTAAAAGTTTGTTTAATCAATACTGTACTCTTCATAGAAGACTGCTATTGCTTATGTTCCATATGCTTTCTAATTTTTGGGAAGATATGTGTTTGTAATTACCAACCTGAATTCATAGAAGTCTGTAACGATACCAGATGTGTTGTTGTTTAATGTATAAACGCATCTAAGCCCCTACGTTTTGAGTATATAAATGTATCGCCCAGTCTGGACATCTCATCAGTTACATGGGTTAGGCCCTACGCCAGGTGTTCTCTTGGGTCTAAGTGTACTAACAGACGACAGTCGGACAGGATGAATGCCCTGCTTAAAAGTTTGTTTAATCAATACTCTTCATAGAAGACTGCTATTGCTTATGTTCCATATGCTTTCTAATTTTTGGGAATATATGTGTTTGTAATTGCCAACCTGAATTCATAGAGGTCTGTAACGATACCAGATGTGTTGTTGTTTAATGTATAAACGCATCTAAGCCCCTACGTTTTGAGTATATAAATGTAACATATTAAATATTGTTGTAATTTTAGCGTGTTATAATCATTCAAATAAAAGAAAATTATAAACGTGGTCAAAGATGATGGGACGAGGAAAAAATTCTGCTGGTTGCAGCACAGATTAACATATCAAAATCAATGTCAGTACATTTGTAAAACTTAAAATATGACAGCGGTGGTTATAAAATATAATTTTAAGATCCATGATAAACATTTAGCAGATTCTATAATAATGCTTTGATGGTTTGCTATGTATTGTTATGTACCAGTCAATACGATCATACGATTTTACATTATGCTGGGAAGGTCAAACCGGAGCTGATGTCCGGGAGGAGTGACCCCCTCCCCGCACAGCCTTGGCCAGTTCTGTCTTAAATGTCAAGAAAAGAGAGCAGACCCTCAGGCCTGTGAGCCCAGAGCTTCAAGTTTCAACCTTTACCTTAATGACAAATTTTGATTTATTTCAAAGTAAACAATTTAAAGAAACGCTGTCTTCCTTTTCGATCCGAACCCTTTATCACTGATTGACTGAGTAACTAGTTTTAGGTGTGAGCTAAGCTCAAATTGATGTGGCTTCACATGCTTATCTCTTTTACCTAATTTAATGTCGTTATTAAATATCAACTGTATCATCACTCTAAAGTTAGAGTAATGATATTATGCTAATAATCTGCTATTAGATTTAATAATAGGTTATTGCTATTATTATTAACAACATGATAATTGTCATTATTATGAATATTATTTCTACTACTTTTAATATCATTAGTGTTATTCTCACGGTAGTTATTATTATTATCATTATTATTATTAATAATCGAACAACCTCCCCTCCCCCCAAAATTTAAAGGTCCACATTTTTTCAGACGTTTTTTTTAGGGCCTTTTCACAATGACAAATGAAAAAGCATTGATGAGGTACCAGCAACGAGTCTAATGACCTTGCCAATTGCGTGACGTAATCTATCTCAATTCCAGCAATTCTGAAACTTCCTTAAATGAGACTTTAAGCTGCTCATGGAGTAACAGTGCCTATAATGTTTTTCACCAAGGAATGAACGTCCTCAATTTGTGTCAATTCGGCAACAATTTCTATATTAAAAAAAAAAGGTGCTATTGACATTTTAATCACATCTTGCTGTTATTTCATTGTGAAAAGGTCCGAACAATGACGACCCACCCAAAAAAATCCTGGATACATCCCTGCAGTTAAAGTGCTCTATCTTTAAATATCAATGCTATAATAGTGATATTTAGGATTTGAAATTGTTACAACCAGCTACATTAGACAAATATCAATATGTAGCATAATTATCAGACAATCTGCTATAGCATATAACGGTGTTATAATTTGCTTTTGGAGTGCTTTACCAATGCTATGTTGAGTTTTTTGAGCTCTGTTTTTTTTAAATATTATGTTGATATGACCAATATTGCGCCTGTGTGAAAATCTGGACAAAATCTGAGAGATTGGGTAAATTCTAGGTTTACGTGACATGGAATTACCCATTTTTGTGGTTTAGGTCATTAAATAATGTGTGATCATATAATATGTTCATGTCATGTTATCCTGTATAAAATCATATACTTTATAACAACACTGGTACGGGTACATTATTTCCTAACAGTAATATATATAAAATAAAAAAAGTACACATTCAGTTTAGAAATACGTATGAATCAAAATAACGTATTTCCTGCGATTAAATGACGGATAGAGGACAAAAATAAAATACTCAAAGAATAATATGCCAAAGGAACATGACCGTAACGAAAGAGCAAGTACAGATTCAATGTATATTTATTCCGTCCTTGTTTAAATCAGAATACATTACAAAATTAACATAATAAATTTGCGCAATTAGCAACAATTCGTAAAATACAAAATAATATAAAACCTTACATATAACAATACAATATGTGCATTTGTGAACAAACAAACAAATGAAAATAAATAAATAATTATCATTAATCTTAAATTTCCCCTGTGTAAACAATGTTGATGACATGACTTTATGAGCCTAGTAGGCTAAATTCCAACATTTCGTTATGTAGATCTAGACCTAAATGGATAAATTTGACTTAGTCAACGATTGATTGTGTATGTCTCGAAGTTTAACTGTGCCTGGAAATGAGGTGTGTGCAAGAGCTTACTGTGCTTGAAAATCGATGTATTCTATGTTTCATGATTGCTGCTGTGCTGCCGCGAAGAGAAAATAGCTGATCGCTGATTCGCTGCTACAAAGGTGAAAATAACATTATATTTTGGCACCCGTAAATAGTTAATTACTCAAAAACTTATATTATTGAAAACATAGTATAACAGAAGAGACATTTATCTAGGCCTACAAGGCCCGATCATGAATGACGTTGTGGATAAAAATGGAGCGAAGGCAAAAAGAACTATATTATTTGTAGCTTTTGCTACCACCATCATGGATACAAAAAAGTTCAATATGCATAACAGAACTGCAGATTTTAACCAATCACAAGAAATAACTGCAGCAAATTTAAATCCACTGCAACATTTTTGCCCTCTATTCATGTTTTCACCAATCCCATTACAGAGAACCTGCTACAGTGAGTTTTAAATCAAACTACAGTCGAAGAACCGTACAGAGCGGTACGACATTCCATAGGCACTATAACGTATTAAAGCTGGTTCTTTTGAAATCTAGATTCGTAAGACTGACATCGGAGACTGAGTGAGTACGTTGACTTAAGTGATTGTCGTAGCATAGTACGCCAGTAGTGTACTATGGTTTTTAAAGAATAGTTTTGTTAACCGTGTTAAACAGTACTCGTAGATCATTATGGATGGTATTTTTGTTTTTAAACAAACATATATTTTGTTGATAAACGTTGAGCCAAACTGATTTAAAATAGAATGAAAATTACTATCTGATTTATTTTACGATTTCGAAAATTTTAGAGCAGTAGTATGGTAATGTTTTATACAATAAAACATAGTCATGACATTGATATATGGCCAATTTAATTGATTAATTGATTTTATATTCCACATATTGTCTATCAAAGTATCTTTAAATAACTTAATGTCTGTTTGTTACAAAAACTGTATTTTATAGACTGATTTATACGAACACTTACAATAATTGTACACCATCTTTTGTCATACTGAATATGAAACAATAATGAAGCTACCTAATTTATAATATTTACGAAAACAAAGGATAGAAAATAAGACGATGGCGACAATAGTTTACTGATGTTTGCCTATTTAATGTATTTCAGTACCTATTTTTAAAGACTGTTTCAGCAGAAAAAAGTAGCATGGTATCTGTGAAACGTGTGGCCATCATTGGAGCTGGGGTTAGTGGACTAGTATCAATCAAGAGTTGTCTGGAAGAGGAGTTTCAACCCATTTGCTTCGAAAAAAGTTCGCAAATAGGTAGTTATGCAAATCCAAAATATTATTATGCCTATTTATTAATGTGTACACACTGAGTCAACAATTGCAGTGATGGAATATGCTGCTGATGATGATGATGATGATGACGACGATGATGAAGACGAAAAAAATAGGAGGTATTAATTATTGTAATGGCATGTTGCATTGTAGAACCGGTTATCGTAAACTCGCTGACATTGAACAACTTTAAGCTGTCAATATTTCGATGGGAAACCACATCTGACTGGGCGCTTAAATGTCAGTTGAGTTGAGTAGTCGAGCGGTACGGCAGGGGCCTCGCTTCCTGAAGCTTTAATATTATTGCTGTGGGTGTGATTCTCATTTCTCACTCATGTCAGTTGCTAGACCCAAGTATTTTTAGACTACAAAACCGTGTACACAATTGGCTAGTGTACACTGAGAACACAGTGCATCCTTTAAGAATAGTAGCGGCTTACCCTGGAGTAGGCCTACAAGCCTGTCTAGCCCGTGCCTTTCTGAACAGACAAAAGTGCACCTCTCGACAAATATAAAATCAGATGAAGAGCCAAAGAAAATGAAGGTCATGAAGCACATCAGTTGACTTAATTAACCCCTAAGAATATCCAGTTCTCCCTCCAATTAAAGAAACCTTTAATTTAAGATGTACATTATGTTCATAATGCAACTGATCGTCTGTCAGCTGTAATATTTAATAATTTTTCTGTGAATAATAATCACAATACCGATACCGACCCAGACTCACAATTCTTTTCTGACAATGACTTTAACATTTACCCATTTGATTTCTCAAATAAATTAAAAAATATATATAAATATAAGTTTTTCTTCAATACATTTTAATTCAAGAAGTCTTTTTGATTCAATAAACATCTTACTAAAATCCTTAAATTAAGGCATGACAACACTTATTTAAATTCCCACTTAGGCCTATTCTTTTATTGCCAAACACAGGCAGTTAAAAGCTGGTGATGGCGTGGCTAGGCTATGTTTATTCGTACTGAACTTTCTTTCAAAGAAAGACATGATTTATTTATTGATCAATCCATATGCGACTCACTGTTTATTGAAATTGAGCAAAAATCAATGAAAAATATTGTTGTTGGTACAATATGCAGAGCCCCTTCTCTAGATCCAAATAGCTTTTTTAGAAAAGATTGAATTAATACTTAGTAATCTATGAAGTGAAAATAATTGTTTTTCTTCTGGGTGATCTCAATATAGACCTTCTTAAATATGACTCCAATAACCACGCCTACAATCTTACTATTTTTTGTTTAGTAATTCCTACTTGCCCCTTATCCATCGACCAACTAGAATCACATCTTCAACTGCATTCTTGCTGGGTAACATAATAACCAACTAAATCAAATTCTGTAACCACAATTGTATACTTATTAGTGATGTTACCGACCCCCTGCCTATTTTTAATATATCTTCCACCTGCAAACAATTTGTTTGTCTGGCTATTCTTAAAAAAGTTTGTCCGATGATAGAAACACTTTCTGGGGTCTTAACAAATATAAGAATGACTGCTTTTTGCTGTAAGTGATGAAGTTTATTGTACAGAAATAGCGAATCTTTTTATAAACATAACACGAGCAACGTAAAGACAAAGGAATAACTTTGTGGCCAATAAAGTATAATATTGTGTGTGTGTGTGTGGGTGTGTGTGTGTGTGTGTGTGTGTGTGTGCTGCTATCAGCTTAATAGAGGGCAGCATCATTATTCTCTACTACCTAGCTATTCCATTATACCTTGAAGCTCAGGTTTCGTGTCCTTTTATGAAATTTTGTTCAGCTGATAAGGATGATAAAAAATAATGAACATTATTATTCCGATGACGTTGGTATTTTACAGGTGGCGTTTGGATTTACAGTGACGATGACACAAGAGGAAAGGCCAGTGCCATGTACAATGGACTTGTTACTAATTCCAGCAAAGAAATGATGTGTTTCAGTGACTTTGCCTATCCACCTGAATATCCACCATATCTGTATACTCATCACGTGATCAAATACTACCGGGACTATGCTAAACATTATGATATAGAGAAATACATCAAATTTAACACAGAAGTGATCGATGTTAGTCCAACAGACGATAACCAAACGACTGGTCAATGGAATGTCACAATCCGACAAAGGAACCAAGAGCAATTCATTGAACAGACTGACGTATTTGATGCCGTAATGGTTTGTACGGGAAAGCACTCCAATTGCATAATGCCAGAATATCCAGGAATGGACAAGTTTAAAGGCCAAATAATACATAGCAACACATTCAGAAGAGGAGAGGACTTTGTTGGTCAGAATATACTTGTTGTTGGTATGTATTGTGCGAAATACCTAAACCATTTCTGATCATTACAATATTAATTTTACCTAAATATTTTTCTATTTTTCGTTATTATATCAAAGTATCTTTATTCCTAATGAGCATAAACAAAAGTTATAACATAATTTCTATTGCAGTTAAAAAGCTGAATTATGAAAATATATCAGTAATGTATAACAGGCATAAAAAGTAGATAAAAATCACAAAAGTACATAAATCATCATTATTATATATTATCATTTAATATAATTATTATTGCATACACACAAACAAAGCAAACATACATACATTCAAAGCTCTTATAAAAATTTAAAATAGTACATTAAAAAGAAAAATTTTAAATTGCACAATTTGACTGTTGACAGATCATAATATCAATATATTAAAATAGTTCAATTAAATAATTTGGCTTATTTATTATTATTCTTAAAAATGTTTTTAATGACATTAAAAGATAGATAAACACATGCAATGCAAATATAGGCGTAAAAGGAAAGACCATGGAACATACAAGGGAGGGTTTAACCAGATGAGAGATTTTCATGTTATTAATTGGAAGCAGATTATTATTATTATTATTATTATTATTATTATTATTATTATTATTATTATTATTATTATTATTATTATTATTATGATCATCATATTATGGGTTCTCTTGCCGCAGACATTCATTTGATTATTTTTTTGTTATTTAGGATCCTGACTATTTTAGATGGTACAGGGGCTTGAGTAACTCACTGTTTTACATTTGAATTCTTTTTGTCTAACCATTATTACCTGTGAGAGCGCCCGAACGCATAGGTTAGCGGTAACCGTTACCAGGATCTGGATATGCTAACGGTTAGCGAGCGCTATCGGTTAGCAAGTTGAGCGCGTTTCTATCGTTAACCAATCACATGTATGCATTTCTGATTTCAAGTTTCCTATTTACCAGTGATCCCACCATCATCTTTCTTGATATATTGATTGGGGATTTTCTTGTTTACGCAATGGTGAGCGCGTATGTTATTTATCATGATCCTACGATCTAACCGTTTGCTGCCCCGTATGAACATAGCATTATTAATGCGTTTTGACATATTTTGAGTACTATGGCATGTGAGAAACTAGGACTTAAAACGATCAGATTTAGATTTGATAGCCAAATGGTAACACAGTGAATTTCTGTGGTTAGAGCCGAAGTAATTGTATAAAACAAAATCAGTTTTAGTATGTCTCGGCATATTTTGATCTGGATTCGTTCAATCATTTTTAGAAGGTTTTACAATCTTGCAGCATCTAAACGGACAGACAGCTATTGTAAATTTAAACTAGTTCGTCACGAGTAAACCCTGCATGTTTTAATGACCAGAAAATAAGTTTACCATTAGCCTTATTATATATAGGTTGATTATTATTATCGCATTTAATATCTTTTTTCAACACTAAACACCTTAACACTATTGACCATAGGATTAAGGTTTGACCTTTAATTTTGAGATATAAATTTGAAAATTATTTGCTTCCAAAATAAAACCTAATGGTCAAACATTTGGTAGGATTCAATGTGAACTATCAAACCACTGTTGCAATACATCGAGGGCATCCCATAATCTACTATACTGTATTCTACCATGGACCTATTAATTATTTTTAATTATTAATAGGTTCATGATTCTACCGTAGTCTACATTCGACAGCATTTAAGGATTCATCATCCAAGTGAATGATCATCCATATATTTCAATGTCAATACTAGCAGCGTGTACTTTACCGTCAGCAATGTTAGCCAAAGTGGATGTTAGAGATCACCAGTATTAGCTTATTAATAACGGCTGTGTGTTGCTTTGGAATTGGTATAGCACATTTCCACTGTAGAAGTTCAACACCGTGGAAAAAACTAAGCATTTATGATATCAGGAACAGGTTTACTTAGTTAATAAGCACATTCTTTTAGTACATTTTGGGGGAATGTTGTCAGGTCTGCCGGTTTGTTCAACTTTCTTACGAAAGTCTTCGTAGATTTTCCATGGTATGAAGCTAGGTGGTGGCACAGAGTCAGTAAATTTGATTGGAACCTGTTGTAGCTATAAACAGTGGCGGCGAAACGAGGTAAGGAGGTAGGAGAAGC